CTTCCTCCTCCTCCTCCACCACTTTGTTTAAAAGCACACTGGGTTTGTCTTTCGGCAGAGGACTCACTTCCCTCACTTCCTGGGTCGAACCATGTTCAGGACTCTGCTGGGACGCGCCCCCACTCTCATCCTGACTGGCGCCCTCACTGTGTTTCTCACCCTCGCCCCCTGCAGGAGACTCTCCCCCTTTGTTACATGGGGGATCTTCCGTATCTCGAGGAGTCCCGTTCTTCCCCTCAGCGCCTGACTTTTCCTCAGGTTGGCTTGCGCTTTTCTCTTTCTCCCGACGAGGACCTTCTCCTGGGTCCTCTTTGGCGACTGCTCGTGTCTGGAGGTCTTCTCTAATGATGGTCGTGGTTATGGGGCGTTCTTCGTCTGTGCCCTGACTATCGTGTCTTTTTCGAACACTCCGAGCAGCTTCAGCCTGGGTTAGTGAGATTCGTGTTAGTTAGTATATGAAGGTTGGGCAATCACTCATTCTTGCTTAGAAAATATGGACAATGCAAATAAGTGAAAATGTTAGACAGAAAAGTCTTTTATGTTTGGTGCTTATATCAGAATGTAATTATGGTGAAAAAGAAAGCAAAAAAATAAATAAATAAAAATTATTTTATAGTTAGAATAAGCACAGATCCACGAAAAGATCTAAAACATCGTGGAAGTTGCAGAAAGTATTTCACTTGAATGGAGAACTTCACATGACACAAACAATTACTCGGAACAAAATGCCTGAGAATAGAGTTTAGAAACAGGTTCAGCGAAGAAAAAGAAACAGGTAAAAGAGTGTTTTTCCGTGTTTACAGAGCAAGTCTAGGCTAGGGAGGAAGGACACGGGTGCCACTCAGTCCGAGCCAGTCCGGATAGCAACAGCTACAGGTACAACAACGTGATCGTGAATCAACAGGTTAGGGATGAGGGTGGTTGGCGTGGTCATGGGCGTGGTTGAGTCGGACCTGAGAAGTCATCCAGCTGTGGGTGAGGCTGAAGAACTCTCTTCCTTCGGCGACTTCCAACTCGTTCTCCCTGACGGCGCGAGCCACCCGCCGGCGCAGGCGTGGGATGAGCGGGTCCAGGAGGTCGTCCGTGGTCTGGCAGCTCCTCTCCTCCCGCCAGCCCTCCACTCCTGGAAGGCAGGGGGACAGCGGCGCTTTATATTTGCTCAGATATCAAAACTACATTTCCGGAGCTCTTAGTTTACACTGTTTTGACTAACTACTCGGGTTTCTAGTTTTTCTCCTTCTCTCTTTCCGCCTCCTAGTCTCCTATCCCTCTACCTCACCTTTCCCAGGCGGAATGTCTAAATGCATACGTAATAGGAAAACAAACTTCAAATGAGATACACAGCCCATTGTCTTGCAAGTGTCTTCTTCCACTTACCAGCGAGATCAAGCTGGGATCCATACGCCTTTCGCAACATGATATCTCTGTTCTGATTGACAGCGTTGCCTCCCGCTTGCCCGCCGCTTCCGCTGACGTCACTCCACACACTGTGGGGAAACAAATGGTGGGGGATTCTTTACAATCGTTGTTATTATTCTGATATTCATGATTTAGCATATGAAATGGTATGGTATATGATTAACGATTACTTTCTATGTTTATTTATTTCATCTATTTTTTTTTTTTTTTTTTTTTTTTTGAGAAAGGAAACGTCTTAGCAACGCTACAGTGAGTTATGGGTTTAGCATAAGATATTTTCCACTTTCTTTCCCCTTTTGATATGAAATTATTTGTTAATAGGCAGGTTAGTAATCAGCATACGCATTACTAAAATGCGCACATACAATGCCGAGCCTTACCTAATCTCTCTCCTGAGCAGGCTGCGCGGGTGAGCCTCCCCCGGCAGGATGCCCACGGGAGGAAGGAAGGGCATGCCCAACGTCGACCGAATCCGCTGCATCAGAGACAGCTGCGGTTGCCCAATGCCCAGCATCGCAGATCCCACATACATGCTACGGGAAGCGCGTAACATGCTCCATGTTATTAGGGTTAAACATCGCTGAATAAAGGCTTCCGTACAAACCACAGAAGGAGAGAGCTGTGTAGAGTTCTACCATTCGGCGCACAGAAATGTCAGTGCTAGTGCTTATATCAGGCAAATACAGTATCTCAAAGAAGAGCTCGGGTGTGATTAGTAACGGAACTATTCGTTATGGCTATTTTGTGGGCCTTCTCGCTCACCTCTCGACGGCCGCGCTGGGAGACCGCTCCGCCGTGCGCGACAGGCTGGCCTTGTTCCCCGAGCCGATGTGGCAGCGCACCGTCGTCGTCGTCTTGAACGCAGACCGGTCGTTCTTCTCAGGTCTGAGGCAGAGGAGGCGACTCTGGAGTGTTTTTTTAAAGGCGCTCTGTGCGGACATGTATGTATATGCGCTCACACACACACACACACACACACACACACACACACACAAAAAAAAAAAAAAAAAAAAAAAAAAAAAAAACATACAAACACACACACACACACACACACACACACACACACACACACACACACACATACACACACACACATACACACACACACACACACACACACACACATACACACGCACACACACACACACACAAAAACACTCACAAATACAATTACACAACTACACACACACACACACACACACACACACAAACACACACACACAAAAAAAAAAAAAAAAAAAAACACACACACAAACACACACACACACACACACACACACACACACACACACACACACACACACACACACACACACACACACACACACACACACACACACACACACACACACACACACACACACACACACACACACACACACACACACATACACACACACACACATACAATACACAACTACACACACACACACACACAAACACACACACACACACTACACACACACACACACACACACACACACACACACACATAAACACACACACACACAAAAACACACACATAAAGACACACACACAGTGATATCAAACAACCCAAAAATAAAACTTTGCAAATGCTGTATTGCACTCACCTGAAGAGAATTATGTAAATTTTGGGGAAAAATAGCAGCACGAGGGTGACGAGAGCGCTGAGGGAAGTGCACACGCTCATGCAAATGATTTTGTGGTCGCTGCCGAAGTATATGGGGACCCACGCCATCTGCAATCACGCGTTGCAACAAAATAAACATTTCGACAAAATAACATTGCAACAAAATAACCATTGCAACCAAATAGCCCTTTCTACAAAATAACTGTTGCAACACTGTAACCAAAATGTTGACAAAACAGCCATGACAAATATTAGATTAAACAAATTGGCAATTGACATTTCAATATAGAGAAATGGCACACGGAATTACCCAGATGACGCAAGTGGTGTACATAGAGAACCCTATGAATTTAGCTTCGTTGAAATTCTCCGGCAGGTTCCTCGTCTTGACTGCATAGACGGTGCACATTGCAATCAGGAAGAAATCCCAACCCATGGGCGCCATGATCCCCCGAGGCAACGTGTTGCATACTAACTTTACCTGCAACGAGCAACAACTGAACTAATAACATAACTGAAAAGACTAAAAACAAAGCTAATCAGATACCTAATAACATAACTAAAATAACTAATAACTGAATTGTCTTATAACACAACTGAAATAAATGACTAATAATATGACTGAAGTGACCAGTAAAATAACTGAAATGACTGCCAGGTGAAATGATTGGATTGGTGTAAAGGTGAAATGACATAGGATCAACATTTCGTGATTTATAGGCACACTAGCAAAATATATTGAATTATTTTTCATAAATTCCCGCTCGAGTTCATTTATTTTCATCAGCAAGCAGCCGTATTGTGACATATATAGATTCACATGTACCATGATTTACTGTTGCCATAGTAAACAATGGGTGTTGCTCATCAACGAGACTTTGGGTAATTCGGAATTTGTGTTATGATAAAATGAAAATATAAATTCATTGTTTCCGAAGCAGGCCAAATACTCGAAACTGATGTGTGAAATAAAATCAGTAAATCAATTAACTAATTACTCACAACACAACAGATGACATTCACACATGATTTCACTTGGCATTAAAAAATATATATATATACTAACAGACAACAAGCCACGTCCATGGCTCGATTTCACCACTCAAGTGATTCACAACTTGACTCACAACTCGACTCACAACCTGACTCACAACCTGACTCACAACTTGACTCACAACTTGACTCACAACTGACTCACCTCCTTTATCCCAGGGTAGGTGTGCTTGACGTCAGGTTTGTCCAGAATCAGCATAGTAGTTATAATTCCAACCTCAATGCTGATCAGAATGCATGTGATAACAACCTGTAGATTTCATGTTGGTTAAAGAAACGAAATATGTTGACGTCTGGTGTGGGGAATATCTGTACATTTCAGTATGTTTGTGGTCAGTGTATTCATTCAGACAATTAAGTCGACTATCTGCAATTTACCTTAGATATACCGCTATAGCACTGTTTAGTCTTGTTCACTATCATCTATCAACGTAAGATATACTTATCAATCCAAATTATAGTCGAATATCGCATATGTGATCATGTAAAATATACACTGATATATATAATTTTGCCATATAACAGGACACGCAGTTATTGTTCTATCAATTAACAAATGCCCCTCAAAAAGGTATACAAATAGATAAAAATGATAATGAAATAATAGTAATAATTATGATAATAACAACAATAATAGTGATAATACTAATAATAACGATAATAATTATAACAAGAACGATAATAGTAATCATAATGATACTGATAAATAGTGGTAATAAAAGTGATAATGATAATAATAATAATAATAATAATAATAATAACAATAATAATAATAATAATAATAGTAATAGCAATAGTAATGATAATAATAATAATAATAACAACAACAATAATAATAACAATAATGATAATAATAATAATAATAATAATAATAATAATAATAATAATAATAATAATAATAATAATGATAATGATAATAATGATAATAATAATAGAATAGTAATAATGGGAATAATGGTAATAAGGATAATAACAATAATAATAATTATGATCATAATTATCGTAATAGTTACAATAATGATAAAAATAATGATAACAATAATTATGATATTTATTTCTATCATAATTACAACGATAATAATAATAATAATGATAATGGCGATAATATGATAATAATGATAATGAAGATAATATAATAATAAGGATGATAATAATAATAATGATGATGATGATAATAATAATAATAATAATAATAATGATAATAATATTAATAATAATAATAATAATAATAATAATAATAATAATAATAATAATAATAATAATGATAATGATAATGATAATAATAATGATAATAATAACAATAATAATAATAATAATAATAATAATAATAATAATAATAATAATAATAATAATAATAATAACAATAATAATAATCATAATAATCTTAATAATTACAATAATGATGATAATAATAACGATAAAAACAACAATTATCATAATCACAATGATAATAATAATGATAACAACAATAATAATGATAATAATAATAATGATAATAATAATGATAATAATAACAATAATAATAAGAAGAACGATAATAATGATAATAATGATGATGATAAAATTATAATAACAATAATTGTAATGCTAGTGATAATAATAACGATAATGATAATGTAAAAATATTAGTAATACTAGCAATAATAATAACGATAATGATAATGTAAAAATACTAGTTATGATGAATAATAATAACATTGATAATACAGCAACCACAGAAATTACGACCAGATTTCTTACAAGAAATAATCTCACTTGTTTACAGTCACCCTCCCTCACCTGCGCCGTGGCGGACATGAACCGGGGCTTCCTCGTGAGAATCTTCTTATTCCCGGCGAGAATCCTGGCGATGCGGTTCGTCTTGGTGACCAGGGCGGCGTAGATCATCGAGAAGGAGAGGCCGGGAAGGACTCTGGACACGGCGCACGAGAGGGGCGAGGGACGTGCGAGGAGGGGGATGGTCGCGCAGTAGGAGACCATCATGCCCACGAAGATGATGTAGGAGAGCTCTCGCGTCGAGGCCTGGGACGAGGGCGGGGGGGAGGGGAAGGTGTCAGAAATAGAGAACAAGATGTCGAGAGAGGCGTATAATAGACCAGAAGAATAACCTATAAACAAGGGAATTGAATAACAGGGGAAGGGTAATATGTGTGTGTTTTTTTTTGTTTTGTTTTGTTTTGTTTTGTTTTTTTGAGATGTGATGATTTTGTGATGATAGTTCGTACTGATATGATATATCATACTGAACTGTCGTATTCATATCCCGGTAACGCTTTGCACAAATAGATGCCTTTTTGATGATATGTTGTATAAATACTTGCCCAACAGTACAGGTTGTGATAAAGTATTAACTATGTAATTAGTATAAATAGCTGTCGTTTGCATCATTAAACTGAAAGGACATGACGAAAAATATGCGAATAAATCGTCAAGTATGTAAGCCTACCTTGACAACTGGAGTATGGTTATATTTGATGAAGACGACCATTGTGAAGCACGTAGCCAGGCCGCCAAGCGATGCCAGGCACAGTGCCACGATGGATTCGGCATCACTCCACATCACATGCTTCACTGGGATGGCGTCGCACCCTTGCAGCATAAAGGGATAATTAGTCATGTAGTCCCAGCTGTATTCGTACATGTAAGCAAGTTTGATATTTTTGTCCTACTGAACTACTTGAGTTTTTTTCTCTTTCTCGTAAAAAAAAAAAAAAAAAAAAAAACAAGAAAAAAAAAAAAAAAAAAAAAACAGAATTTTGATTACTTTCCTAATTTAGTTTTCATGAAATTCCCCTCAGTACAGCAACCAATTTTCGAAGAATAGAACAAGGGTCACCACTCAAGTGTCCGGCGTTGAACCCACTGCCGCCGTCCCCTTCAGCCTCAAGCTGCCGTTTCCCTGCACTCACCCGACTTGTTGATGTTGGGCCAATGGCCTGGCTCGCACTTCTCGCAGGCAGTCTCGTTCTTCAGGTACTCGTCCTGATGGCAAGCGATGCATAACCAGCAGCACTGCTGGGTGCCGTCGCCCATCTCCACGAAACTCTACGGATCGGAACACCACGTTTAATTACGACTTTTCAGTCCCACACCCAAACATACACACACACACACACACACACACACAGACACACACACACACACACGCGCACACACACACACACACACACACACACACACACACACACACACACACACACACACACACACACACACACACACATATGATGTGCGTGTGTGTAGAATATATATATATATATATATATATATATATATATATATTATATATATATATATATATATATATGTATGTATATATATATATATACATACACATATATGTGTATATATCTATTATATATATTTATCTATATATATATATATACTATCATATATATATATATATATATATATAT